AAAGTATGAAGTTATTTAGGCAGGGGCATCGGAGACAGCCGTGCGGGCAATGTGCGATGGCGGAGCTACTGTTTTCCACTTTCTGACCATATTGTGTGGACGAACAGTTTAAACAACCTACCGCAGCTGTCTGACAAAACTCTCGGAGGCCTGTGCACGCTGGCGACAACCTCGTCGAAGCAGCGGACCAAGTCCTACGCCTTCGCTGTGGAAGCTTGTTGTCGCGAGCGTGTGCACACGCCTCCGAAAGGACTAAGCCGCCATGCCTTTCATCTTTGAGAACACTTTTAAGTCTTTTTTCGATCCGAATACGCTTGAAGTCGTACTGTTTTGCGGTATACCGCTCCACGCGAATACATGACTCAAAATTAGCTTTTTTGTTTTAGTTGGGGTCCACATCACATGAGCGAATGACATTTTACCGAACAGCGACATTTGAGCGAATCGACGTCAGTCTTGTACACGTTACTAAAAAAAAGTAATCGATTACAATTACTATTACTCTTGGCTAAAAAGTATTCGATTAGATTACTTGATTACTCGGCGGCAAAAGTAATTGGACATTACTTAAAGAAGTAATCGTTACTTTTCCGATTACTTTATTGTGTGAAGACGTACACCTTTAGCGCTCATAACAATGAACTACTTCCGACCTATATTTCACATTTGCACAAGTATTGAAGAAGAAAAACTGGCTCCCTCTTCGTGGTCTTTGCACCTTCACAATGCGGACACAAGAATAGAATTTGTTTGAAGACGTTTAATGATTTGGGCGTTGGCCAGTGTGTGTGTGTTTGTGTGTGTGGGGGGGGGGGGGGGGCGGAGGGGGTTCTGGATCTTGTTAAGCTTGAGCAAGGGTTGTCGCTCAAAGTTTGCGTCGCTAATTTTATTATTCACAGATGGATTAGCTCGCATGTTATACAAAAGAGCAGCAGCTCCAGGATTTGAAACAAATCATGTGTAGTATCCATTAGCGGAAGAGATCGCAACGACCACTTCTCAACTCGAAACATTGCTTGTCACAAAGACCACGTAGAGGAAATGGGGAAATATTTCAACTGCCTTTGTTATATTTTGCATCCGCCTCAGGTATTCTTCGGTTCTGGTTTTCCTATGGGCTGCGAGTAGGTACCCTAAGCAGGATTTTTTTATTTTCTTATTTATGTGTGTGTGTGCGTGAGGGGTCTCGTTTGAACGAAGGACTCACAAAGCTAGTATTCTGCTTCCTCAAACTTAGCCCTGAATGGCCTTTGTCATGCACTGTGGCTTCCCTGGGGCTTTCCACTCCCAATCCCAGCTCAAAAACAACAACAACAACAACAAAAGAAACGGACATTTTACAGAAACTGTACATACAACGAGATTGATCTCGTTTTTTACAGCTCCGCAAAATACTTTCTTTTTCCCGTGCAAAAAAAAAAAAGCAAATTTTATTTTCTTCTTTTCATAAAAAAAAAGACGTGTGATGGAGGGGGGGGGGGGGGTTCCGTGGACAAATTGTAACGATTACAAGTAATTTTATTACTTCAAAAAGTAATCAGATTACTCTTGTGATTACTGCCTAATAAAAGTAATCAACTGATTACAAAATTACTCCAAAAAGTAATCGATTACATGTAATTTGATTACTTGTAATGCGTACGGTACAAGTCTGATCGACGTTTAGCGAATAACGGGGGCGCGCGTTATACCCCCCCCCCCCCCCCCCCCCTCCATGCTGCGCTTACAAAAATGTGAACCCACTTGGCGCACCCGAAAACTTCGCGGCGTCCGACTATTCGCTAAATTGTCATTCGGTGAAACGTGGGCGTTCGCTTAAACGTCATTCGATCAAGCGAGTGCCTCCAGCCCTGGGTAATATTTTTCAAGCGTTACAAAAAGCTCAAATTGGTTTCAGAGAGCATTGACCTCAAGCACATTTGACGGATGTTGCGCTATTAATGAAGATTTGTTCAACCCTGACAGAATAACTGCAGTGACTTTCTCAAAACTACCCCCGAGCTTCTTTGCATGGAAACAAAATTTCTACCTCGGCTGCGACAAAAAAAAGAAAAAAAAAGAAAAGGAGTTTGTAAAATGAAGTTGGCACAGCCCGTGTTGCTTCATTCAACGTCCGCAACGTCAGTTTTGGCCGCCGCCGACATCAAAGTTTTAGCCATTACGATGAACCTAACCATACCACTGTTAACCATACGCATCTTCAATTATGCGACATCTTGTAAACCCTGAGATGGGGAACGATAAAAAAACGGACGAACACAACAAAATCTCAAGAGATTTTGAGATTTTGTTGTGTTCGTCCGTTTTTTTATTGTTCCCCATCTCAGGGTTTACAAGATGTCGATTAATTACCAGCTCGCCTGCACTCTATCACTGCTTACAATTCAATCATGGTTGGTGGCGTAGATTATTAAAACTGCCATCTTTTTGCTGCGCTTAACAGCCTTGGTCTCGTCCGCATGCATTGAGCTGCTTGCGCGTCAAGAAAAAGGCAGGCCGACACTACAACGTACATAAAAGAAAAAAGAAGGTCATGAACAAATTTGGTACAACTTCGCGAAAAGATTAGGGCCCAGTCCAATAGTTGTAAATGGCTTCACGCCGCGCGGTAACTTCCGCATGTTTCGTCGCGTTCTCACCGATTGTTTTTTTTTTTTGTCAAAAGCTGCGTCTCAAGTAACAAATAAAAATAAGGAAAGAAAGGTGAACCCTGTTCACGTTTGCGTTCACGTCACGCGCGAATGAAAGGCTTATCGCTGCAACCGCAGCGAATCGCAGCAATCGTTGGCATCGCATCTCTCGCACGAAGCGCGGTCGCTTGCTTACATTGGGTCTTTGCCGGTCGGGTCTCTGGTTTCGTTTTCTCGCCACTAACAAGATGGCGGACGTAGTTCTCGCCGCGCTACTAGATGGCGCTCTGCATTTCGCATATAGCATTTCTGCATTCTTCCAAAATGGAGGCGCCCCATCGCGGCGAAATATCACACAGTGCACACTGGGAACTAGTTGGCCACTCAGTTTTGGTTTCGATTGAGCAGCTTCATCTCATGCTGTCACGCCGCGACCGAGCGCGCTGCTTGCTTTTTTGATTATCTGACTTTTCACGAATGCACAATACTCTCATTCTCGAGCGATACAAAACGAAGACCGGGGCACTTTCCTTGGTTCCCGAAACACCGGATATTGTGCGAGCGCATGCAAACGTAGTGGCTTAGAGTCACCCGAGCGCTTCTTTGAGCTCAATTTCAATAATCCCGCCTTGTACCAGTGAACTACAACTGAAATTTGGTTACCTTGAGCCTTACACGTATTTTGTTTGCTAAACGTCCGCTTCTTTTTACTTAATGGGACGGAAAGTGAGCTGCATCCTCACAGGAGTATCAAAGTTGAGCCCAGCGTTGACGCACGAACTTTTAAGGAAACGCAATAAATTTGACCTCACTACTGCACAAAAGTTATTATGATGTCTTCCTCGTGTCATCATATATCTCCCACTCAAATTTTATGCTGATAGAAGATTAAGTTTTCGCAAACACTGAGATCGGCTAGCTATGACGGGGGCCCTAACAAGCGTCCCCTACTCCTCGCTAAGCCTTTTTAGACGAGCCTTTACTGACGCCCAAGGTCAGTGTCTGAACGGTGTGTCTGAAATTATCTCGGCCTACTCAGTCAGGAAGAAAGCAAACACATAACAAATATTATGGCCATTAGACACCGTCAAATGTGCTTTGAATAATTTCGTTCGTTTGGCGCACCGTATAGGGGTTGATGCCCGTCGGCGCACTTCCGACGAACGGTGCGACATTCTTCACACAAGTGCCCGACTTTTGCTTTCTTAAAACGGTTTGGTGCGAATGTGCCTATAGGATTGCAGGATACCTTTATGCGCATACGCGATGTTGAATATTAGTGGAATGCAAGCGGGTTGTGACTTCACTTCGTGCAGTGCTGCGAGTCAGTACAGATAGGAGATGAGAAGTGTGTTCAAATGGAGCTTTTCAATGGCGCCTCCGAGTTTTACCTCACGTACTCAGGCGTATTAAGAAAAACAGTAATTGCAAAAAGTTATATTTTGTCTATCGACGCACGAAACAAACTTCTTGACCAACAATACTAATGTAAAGGCGCGAGCTCGATGTATGCATATACTTATCGGTTGCTACAGCTTGTTGATTTGTACACAAGCAAGATCCCCGAGCTTCGCAGCGTCGAGATTCCCAGCACTGGCTCGTCCACATACCTCGAAGCGCTAACAGAAAGGCTCAAGTACAAAAATACAACAAGCATGCGTTAAGACAAGCTATATACGTCTCGGGCTTGTGCTAAAGCTTCGAGGTCTGGCCATTTAAGTTAGTTTAGAGACCGAAAATGACGCTCTCGGGGCCAGAAAACATGAGCTCGCTCTGTGTATAATCTCTTCTCGACGTGTCGATCGAAACGGAAACCATGTCCCTCGCCTCCATGGCCAACTAGTTCCCAGTGTGCAACGCGCGCCGTGTTGCATGTAGGTGTTTATGGAAGTAGCAAACAATGCAGCTAGAATCACGCGACGCACTTAGATACATGAACGGATCATAAAAATGGCGTCACAGTGGTGCAAATACATGAGGGGAGAAGGATTATCGGATTTCTCGCTGCCAGTTATCGTTTTATGGTGCTCTTTTGATAGACCTATTGCTAAATTACCCAAGCATCAAGGAGAATGCAGGGATCGGTGTTCCACACGCGCACGCCTTCGCCGTATAAAATATTCGAAGTAAATAACCAAATAAAGCGTTGACGATCGCGTGTGCAAGATGCAATTTGTTTTAGGCACTTGCTTTAGAAAAGTTACTACTGCTGAAACCTGCACGTGCGGCGCGTGGAACACCAATCCCTACATTCTCCTTGATGCATGGGCAATTTAGCAATATGTCTATTGAGAGTCTGTCATATTGACGGTAGTCTTAACTATATGCTAAAGTTCATCCTGCATTGCGAACACCGAGGAATATGACCGCTTACGATAATTGAAGCGATTCCTCGTTGTGCTCCTCGGACATGAGCCGCTCGTACTGGCTGTCTAAGAGATGATTCACAAATTTCTGAAAGGCATAGAAACATTCGCAGCAAGGGACTCAGACAATGATCATATTCCGCAGGAACTGAAGACAACAGACACGAAGATCTATAGGAGGTATTCACTGGACGCCATATTTCAGGGCGCTGTTTAGAGCGCATGCTCAGAACGAGCTCAGATTATCAGGCTGCGAAGATAGGCAATCTTGAAAGTGTGGAATGCACGTTGTACAAGAACTGTGGAAGCTCGCTCTCAGCACGCGCTCAGCAGTCGCACACGCAGCTATGGCCGCCAGGAAACACTCCATATACTCTGTGCACGGTGACTCTGTGTCATACGTAATGCACAACACTGTCAAAGCTGCTGACGCGAGCATGGGGTTTGATCTCGTCGATCATTTGCTCTGGTTCTCGCGCAAACGAAACCAAAGATGAAGCCACGCGCTCGCGCCAGTAGCTTTGACAGCGTTGTATACTAAGTAAAATAACTTTTGGCCGCTTCCATTTTCAGTGTTTGTGCATATAGCGCGTGATTTGCTCGCTTTCCGTGCTGGGTTGAGGAGATCGCACGCTGGGAGGCGGAGTTGTATTATAACAACGTTGATTATAGCCTTCTTTATACTCACAAAGCCTGGCAGTTTGACGACAGAGCCATAGAGTGCCCGGTTACAAATTTCGAGCGCGAGGATCTGGTAGTATACAGAGCATTTCTCGGGGAACCTGGACGTCAACGCACAGCTTTTGTAGCGACGAGGACCCGAAACATGGTTTTCCATCCCGACGAGAAAGGAAGCGGTAGCGCGAGGAAAGCGAAGAGCACGAGTGGACGTTCCATCGCTCGGGAGAAGTGTATTTCGGGGTCTCGCCGCAGCGGGGCGCCCGCCACGTTGCTCTGCTCTCATCCGTTGTTTGCCGCTCTACCTTTTCAGTTTCGGCGGCCGCTTCTCGTGGCGATCTGCCAGGCTTTGTTAGTATAGAGGAGGCTATGGTTGTATGTATTAGAATGGTGTTCGCAGATCTATGCTTTAAAAATTTTAACGTACACAGGAATAATTGAGCTAGTTGGTTAAGCATAATGGGTGACACCGGCTGTACATAAAAAGGAAAGATAAAGGAAATTAAAGAAAGGACAAACTTCTGCTGGACTATTAGCTATTTTAATGAAGAACATCTTTGTCTTTTACTAGTTCTGTTTCTTCCTCCTTCTTTTCTGCTTGATCCATCAGTGGCATCTACTATTTTTATTGCGTCCTTTTCCTCGAATTTCTAATGAACAAGGATATTGGTTTCCCGTAGGAACTTTTTCCCCCGTTGTGCTGGGTAGCTTAAGAGTAACTAATACATTTGTCCTCGATCGGGGTTGGAATATTCAACATGCATGTATGTTGGAGATACCAACCCCGATAGGGTAAAGGTTTCTTCCATTTAGAATCTCAGTATGCAAAAATGTCAAGCGGGGAGTAGCTACCGCAGGTATTTCAGACAGCCTAAAAAAGTAATGTCAACATCCAATCAGACGCTGCGTCGAGACACAAGTTTCGAGACTTCAAGAGATCCACAAACCTTATTGGCCTCCATATGCGAACAAATCTTCCACAATTTCACGAATGCGCCTGACCATAGTGACCGCACAACGCAAAATAAAAAGACACGCAAACATTTTTCCGGTGTTTTTATATAATTCATTAATAACCCATAAATTATATATAAAAAAAAAAAAAAAAAAAAAAAAAAACATTGCGAGCTGGTAAGACGTGCAACTTGCATGCGCTCGGCGCCGAATAATGTATACTAGAGGGAGAACAGGCACGACCTAACCAAGAGAATCGTTGTTCCACCAATCACAGAACAGAGTTCGGCTTATCTTGAAAAGCGGTATTCTGTTGAGAGGCGGCCGTTGCTCTATTGGGTAAACAGGATGCCGCATGAACGATCAAACACGTGAACGTGCTGCTAACCTATAAAATAACCTGACAGGTGCAGGGCACCTAGCCGCTCATTGTCGAAAATGCACGTGCAAGGCCAATTTCAAGAATGTTAGCATCCTGGGACACCACAGAAATCAGCTCGCACGTGAGATGCTGGAGGTCCTTGACATGGAAGAAAATGAGGACAAATGTGTTTGTTCCCCTTCATTTACTTCGCACAAAAGGGAGTAAACCTTCCCACGGGAATCCAATTCTTATGTTGATTAGAAGTACTAAAAGGAGGTTGTAATACAAATAGTAGATGCCGTCGATCGATCAAGCAGAAAAAAAATAGCGGAAGAAACAAAACTATAGTAAAATAGGAAGATGTTTTTCAGAAGAATAGTTGAGAGTCCAGCGGAAATTTGTCCTTTCGTCTATTTCTTTTATCCTTCCTGTTTTTATATTTAGCTGATTCCACCCAATATTTTTAACGTGCGCCTAGACAGTGCATTCAAGGTAAATCAAGTAATTTTCCCCACGAGTTTGGCTTTGCTGTGCCATCCGTTTCGACAACATTTCAATAGCTAAAACAAAAAGCCCGAGTGGTTAGTGTCTTTACCCTCTCATGGTTCTGTAAAAAGGAACACTTCCTTCGAAGGTGTTTATTTTTTAAGCTCTATAAGATGTAGGGTAGGTGCAACTACTTCGTGCAACAAGAAAATTAGGAACCTTTTTGACATTTTTGTTTTGCGCAGGTAATCGCGCGCACGCAAATACTTTGAACCGCACATCTCTTATAATTCCTCTTTTCGGGGAAAATCTGGCTGTACCGTAAATTGACGGCTCAAGAAATAACTCGTCCCGCACATGTGCACTCTCTGCACATTATCCAATTAAAATGTGTTCTTTGTTCCTTAATGCCAGAAAAGATGGCGATATGACGCCTATGACAATCACCGCGGCTAAATGTTTCAGGTACAATTGATGCTTTAAGAAAAGGTCCGAGTGTGTACACACCAATAGGAATCTGCTTTGGGTTCTCCTTTTTCGCAGAATGTAGTTAACATATTTTCAATCAAATGTGCCACATTCGGACCGTGTATACTTCACTCTCGAACATTCCTTCATCTATATACGGTCCCGCAATGCACTAGGAACACCATAATCAGTCTCTCTTTAATCAGTTTAGTCATTTGGAACGACGCTCATTATCAATTTCGAACGGTCACGTCGCTTAATTGGCAAAAGAGATGGATGCCTTTCTGCCGCTGAAACCGGATGTGAGCCCGAGACCATGCGCCCTTCTGATTGGCCGCATCACTTAAAGCCATATGAGCGATCAATGATTAATGTTCAGACCGCATCGCGGGGCAGTGTTCGATGCAAGCGCTTCTGGAAGTCGGTGTACATAAACACAGATAGCTTGACAAAACGCAGGACGCGGACAGTCCCGCTCATAGTAATGTCGCCCCACAGCCAATGAGACAGCGGCATGTTAGCCGATAAAAACGCAGAAAAGAGAATTGCAAAAAAAAAAAAAAAGACCACAAAAAAAAACGTGAACATATTAACTTCCGTTTCTCAAGCTGTCAGGCGTATAACGCGTAACATATTGTGTTCTGATTCGTTCATCGGCGTTATTGTCAGCGCCATCTCATTGGCTGTGTGGCGACAATATATACTGTCAAGACCGGTTATGACGTATCGGTTATAACAAAATAGCGGCTACAGCGAAGCGATCACGATTTCCCATTCCCTTCTGCACTTCGTTAACCGAAGTCGGTTATAACGAAATAGCGGATATAGCGAAGTGATTTCCGATTCCCGTTGACTTTGTCATAACCGGTCTTGCGAGTAGTCGACCGAGATTCGCCACGTCCTGAGTTTGTTCAGCGGCTACCGTAAGTGAGAGAACCGGCGTGGCCCTGCAGCTCCTCCTCCCACCTTCCACTTGGTGTAGACCCTGGTGTGTCTCAGTACAAGGTCCAACTTATGGAAATTGGCCACGGCCGCATTCCAGGGCACGTGGGCGCGCTCCTTGGGAAGGTATTCGAGCACGTCGAAGGCCAAGTGGTAGGGCAGCTGGCCGGCCCTGCAACGGGCGCAGTGCGCGGTCCTCACTTTGCTGCGACGACACTCTAGAGAGCATCGAGGGGATCAGGATATACGCCTACTTGCATTCACATCACATCAGCGGTCATTATGGTGACCTTGTTGCTGAGCGCGTGCCTTCTTCTACACCCTGCACTTCGCAGCTCAGACATTTTGGTTGTTGATGATTTATTATCGGAATATCCTCACAACAATCACGCTACGACGGCCTCACGTGCTTCTTGTCTTGGGGCTGTGCTTCAACTCCAGACGAGATTATGCCAGTGGTAAAACATTGGCAAATAGTGGATCAAAACGATTCCATTGTCTAACTTGCACAGCTTTGCAGAAGCGGTGCATGAGAGCCGTCATAACCGACCTTCAGTTTTTGTTTTCTCTAATTCTGTTTACTTCACTTCATCATTACCATCGCAGGACAGGTTATTGCCATTATAGATTCCATTCTGTTTTTTTTTTTTGTTTTGTTTTTTGTCTAGCATTGGCCATTGTAGAGGCTCGTCAACTTTCGTTTTAGTGGCTCGGTATCTCGGTAAGAAAAAAGGTCAACAATGGTGACTGCAATCCGGCGCGTGTGCAAAGCGTCTATTGACTCATTCTCCACGCTCCGGGGTTGAAATCATCATATTAATCCAGCTTTCCAGTATTCACTCTAAAAAAAGCCCGTGTGTTTATTTTCCCGCACAGCACTCGGAGGGCCAATCACAGCAACTTACGGAGGCAGCTCGGCGAATGATGATGCCGAAACATATGTTTAGACCAAAAAAGGCAGTCTGAGTTGTGACATTAAGCAATGCAAAACGTCACGCTTGCATTGATTAATGTTACAACTCAGTCTGCGTTTTTTGGTCTAAACTTATGTTTCGGCATCGTCATTCGCTGAGCTGCCTCCGTAAGTTGCGGTGATTGGCTCTCCGAGTGTTGTGCGGGAAAGTAAACGCACGGGCTTTTTTTTAGAGTATTGTTACTTTAGCTTCAGTTAAGAAATGTATGAATTACGTTTGAAGTGGTGGAGAAAAAGGCGTTTAAAACGGCCTGCGAGCATCGACAGTGGCATTAAGAGTAGGATGTGACTATTAAATTGTGAGGAAGTACGTCACTTTGCGATTGGCCTCTTTACTAGGCAGGGCTACGATCTCATGAAATGCCCAGCAGAGTTCACGCTTTTTGCTTCGGGATTCGTTCTTCGACTTTCCTATCAGCCAGTGCTGAAGCGATAATGAGATGCACGCTCGTGGCTGGCCACGCCCTATGTTTCTTTAGAACGACGGCAAACGGGACAAACACTACCACGCCACCCACCACCACGCAGGCACAATAGACGTCTTAAAGTACCATCATTACAGGAACAGTGAACACGCGTCACGGAAATGAATTTGCGAATTGTTAATTTGAAATAATAAAAAAGGAAAATAATATAAATTGCAACTTTTCATCTATTAGAATGTCAGGCTAACACCAGTGTGACAGCATTCTTGCCGCTCTATATACACTCTAAAATAAGCCCGTGCGTCTACTTTCCCGCACAACACTCGGAGAGCCAATCACCGCAACTTACAGAGGCAGCTCAGCGAATAATGATGCTGAAACATATGTTTAAACAAAAAACTGCGTTTTTTGGTCTAAATATATGTTTCGGCATCGTCATTCGCTGAGCTGCCTCTGTAAGTTGCGCTGATTGGCTCTCCAAGTGTTGTGCAGAAAAGTAATCGCACGGGATTTTTTTAGAGTGCATAGACTTCGCTTACCTGGCAAGGTCCAAAGAATCATCGATCAGCTGTGCGCGGTTGAACTCGTGGATCACCTGTACACAGTTAAGAAGATGTTAACATATCTAAGCTGATGCCCGATTTTGCGGTTTCCTGTTGCTGTACGTGAATTTTGTGAATGAACATTGTTACAGTTGCGGTTACCACGGGACTGAAATAATCTTCACACGACTGTGAAATTTGATAATTATTTACCGCCATAATGCCATTGATTTTTGTAAGTTGTGCCAGTCAGTCATAACGAATTGCATATAGATTTTATATTTAATCATAAATTTCTTTCCCACCTTGTACTGGTGTGCTCTTGATAAAAAAAAAATCTAGATTGCAAAAAAAAAAAAAAAGTAAAACAAACTAGGAATGTGGCGCTGGAATATGACCTCGCGAACCCTCTCCTGTTTCACAGGAAAGCCAATGTACACGTTACTACAACTTAGTAGCACGATTATTATTACCTGCTCATAGATTTAGTAACTAATTTGATTAAACGTTACCATATTTCAAAATGAACGCGATACTTAACCTGAACAGTAACATGGTAACTTTTATCGTTTCTTATAAATTTAAGAGTAGCTGTTGACTGATGCGCTAATTTTCAGTGGTTTCGACAAGCCAAGCAAGCATAAGCGTTAAGATGGTGGAACTGTTATCTTTCACCGCCTTGTCTACCTTAGTCCACTTGGTACTTTTGAATCCTGACTCAGAAGCGGCAGTTCAATTTTAGATTTCTTTCATTCCAGATCACTGTTGCTTTGGGCGAAAATATATACCGGGTGTTTCCAGCGAAGGGTTTTACAAATACTTAAATACTTGACAGGGTATTTATACTCGCCAAGGTTTTTATTTGTACATGACATATGAGAGCCCAAATACCCAGAACACAATTTGCGGCTCGAAATTCATTTTCTTACCGCCCGAAAACCGCCAATCGAGAACAGCCGGTTTGAGTTGCGCTCACTCTCTTCTCCGTAGTCGCGTGCCGTTTTCTATGGTTTAGGCACACACACACCAAATGTAATCAAAGCCATAGCTCATCGAAGGAACAAACTCAATATTAAAAATACGATAAAAATGTTACCCTTTTTTGTGGCTTCTAAATAACTGAAAATACTTTGATAAAAAAAAAAAAAAAAGAAGTGGCACAGAGAACCGGAAGCACTCCGTGCAGGTCGCCGCGATGGCGGCGGACGTCTACTTTAGAACCGTTGTTCGCGGCACTGGCTAACCTGTCTAAGCTTCGAAAGAGAAATCGTTTGCCGCTCAAAACAGTTAGGACTTATTCCGTACGACACGCCCGATCACCATGCTGATTCGCACGAAGACGTCGCCAAGTCGTCGCCTCTTCTCCTGACTGAAAACATCGATCGTTGCTTGAAAGACGCGCAAACGTCAAGCAATAAAGGCGCGCTCACACCCGCGGTGTGGAGAACTCTCACCATGCGACTAGATCGCATAGCGCAAATGACACTGTCACAACCCCTCCCCCCCCCCCCCCCCCCCACCACCACAAAAAAAAAAAGAAAATTATGCGCTTTGTTGTGGTGTCAGAAGACTACCCAATCAATATTTTGCTACGGTGTCACGTATATTTTTCATGAATTAAGAAAACACATCTGCTTGAAACCGAACCCGATACGGGACTGGGGAAGAAGACCTGTAGAGGTTGAGAGAGTTGCTGGATATGTCACGTGGCTACACCCGACCGCATTTACTTTCTTTTTTTTTCCTTTGTTTTCTCGGCCGCGCGAAGCAGACGAAAAACGCCCACGTCGCACGTCGGACGCAAAACACAAAAGTCAAGCGTGCTTAACGTTAGGGGCGCTTTTCAAGCTTTTACCAACGACCACTCGATGACGTCTTCGAGCTAATCAGCTTGGTGATCGGGCGTGTCATACGGAATAAACCCAAATTGTTTTTATCTGTGAAAGTTTTATCCTTCGAAGCTAGACAGATTCCTCAGTACCGCGAAAAACAGTTCTGGAGTAGAGGTTCCACGCCAGTCATCCTCCGGCATCGCTTAGTCCGCGTCGTTCCACCGTCCAGCCCCCAACTCCCGCGATACGACGCCATGTTGAGAATTACGCTGAGAATGCACAGAGTGCTTCCGGTGCCCTATGCAACTTTTTTTTTCTTCAATCAACGTACTGCCCATTTTTCATAAGCCACACACAAAAAAAGTACCATCTTTGTTTCTATTTTTAGTATTGAGTGTGTGCCTCTGATGACCTACGAATTTGATTAAGTTTGGTGGTTGCGTCTAAACCATAGAGAACGGCAGGTGAACACGGAGAAGAGTGTGAGCGCGACTCAAACCGACCAGTTCTCGGTCGGGGTTTTCGGGCGGAAAGAAAACGAATTTTGAGCCGCAAATTGTTCTCTGTGTAATTTGACTCTCTAATGTCACGTACAAAAAAAAAAAAGAAAAAAAAAAGATCTTTGGCGAGCATAGACATTTTGTCAGTGACGTTTTAAAGCGCTTACCTTGTGGTCGTTCTCAAGTTGACTGATGATCATGAGCCAGTTTGACTTGTCATAGTTTACCTTGTAGTAGAAGGTTTCTTTCACATTGAGGATGACCCAGCGATTCTTTGGAGGCATGCCGACCATAAGCGCTGCATACAGTGAATGGAATAATTTTTTTTTAGATGTAACTTAGCCAGAATATAAAGTGCGGGCCCTAAGCGAAAGAAGTATTTTCTATTCTACAACGCCCACAAACAACGGAAGAAAAAAGAAAAAAAAAGAGAAATAGAGAGGCGATTAATAAAATTCATCTTCACCAACACGCAAATAATTACTAAAACATTAGCACTTCGTTTTAATTTTAGCTTTCCTGCCCTTGTAACTGGTTTACTTCGTTGTCAAATCTACAACACTGTTAGCTAGATAACAGCATTGGAACTTTTTTGGCCTGGGGAGAAGTTTCTAAAATATCTCAAAATGGAACAGCATCAATTACGGGAAAAAATTATGAGACGTCCGTCAAATCTGGAAGCCAAACAAACTATTGTTTTTTTTTCAAGAGACAGCAAGAATTGAGGGGTAACCAAACCATCGTATCTTAGCAACCGAAATATTAGGTCTTGAGAAACGCAGGATGTGGCTTAGTACATTCACAATCTCTGCTTAAGAATGCGTTCCTCAAGGTTTCTTTTTTTGTTAGAGAATGCCGCATTAGATCGGCTCGGAGCGATAATAAAATGCCCAAGATTCGCCGTGCCCTGCGTTTCTTAAGCTCTCAGTGATTGAGGAGGAATTCGGAAACAGGTTGGGAACGAAACGTATACTTCCTACAACAACTTGGAGATTGACTACACGTTGATATGCTCGAAAGCATCGAAGGGGTCATTAACCTCCAACTAATTTATTTAGATCATTTACACGAAACTAACACGATGGTGCTTGCGGCCGGGTTCGGAGCTGAGCTCATTAGTGTTGGTATCCTCGTTCTGCTCGTGTATCGCTGAGCGTGCCTGTCGTGTTGAGCCTTCCACCCCCTTCTTTCTCGGCTGTAAAAAGCCGCTACACAACTGCCCCCCGCCCCTTCTCTCTTAGAAAGGAACTGGTAGGGGCGAGCATTTCTCTTGACTCAGGAATAAAAAAAAATTCGAAATGTTCTTGTAAGTCGTTGTTAGGAAGATGTGCGGGCTTGATTCGTTCGAGGGATATAATTTCCTTCCGGCCATTCATTGATGGGGTGAAGGTTTTTTTATTACGCTGTAAGACTTCGTATAGCCCTTCGTAGGGGCACTATAGCGTACGTCTTACGGTGTCGTTTCGTACACAAACGTATGCACAACGTTGAATTTCCGGGATTACGAAGATGTTGCGTGAATGTTTTCTCGATGCAATTTGATTGTAGGTTTTAGAAAACAAGATTTTAACTGGCTTGCGTAGTTTTCGCAGTCCATGTAACAAGGTTCTTTAGTTGTTTTTTAAAAAAAGTATCACCAGGTAGCCGAAGTGAAGTGCCGTATACCTGTTTGGAGGAACTGCACTTGAGCTCATCTCGTACCGTTGTGAAGATCCCCAAAAGCACCGCTGCCAGAAATTCGGTACATGGACGTGATGTATCATGCGCCCGAATCGCAGCTCTTCATTTGTCTGTGGAATCTTTCCGCGAGGCCGTCGGATGAAGGATAATATGCTGCGTTTTTTGTGTGGCTCGCACCAAGAAGAGACGACAACTTGCGAAAGAGGAGACTCACACTGTCTCCCTCGATCGGTTGTTGCACTTGCCGGTACTCCAAAGCGGCTGATTCACGTGGTGAAGAATCTGTGGGCAACCGTTTCCGCTGTCATATCTTTCATGGGCATTGCCTCTGGTCAACGGGCAAACCGATCTACACTCGTCAGTAGGTATCGGTAGTCCCAAGTCGGTGGCAACGGTCCCACGATGTCAAGATGGACGTTGCTGAATCGATCATCTGGTGGTTGGAAATTACCAACAGGTGTCACACTGTGCCGATGGAAATTTGCCCGTTGGCACTGTTTACACGTTCGTGCGAAACTTCTGATGTCCCTTTTTATTCCCGGCCAAACAAGGCGAGCAGAGATGAGACGTTGAGACGCCCGAATCACGGTGTGGAAGAGTGAGTGCAGGGCGTCGAAGACGGCTCGTCGGAACTGTGCTGGCACGAGGCCCAGTGCGGTCACTGACAGTATCGTAGATAAGTGTTTTGACACATTCGGGTATGTTTATGTCTTCTAGAACTAGCGCTGTAGAGGTAGAGTGGGGATGTGAAAGCTCTTCATCATCTTGTTGCGCAGCGGCCAGTTTCTGGAAGTTGATTGTTGACCATCAATTCGGGATGCGCGTCAGTCAGTGTTATTTTTATTGCAATAGCATTCTTTAACTACTTCACCCGGTCTTCGCAATACGCTCTCCGGCCTTGAATGCGCCGTGCGTAATTATTGGGCTTGTGTGGATATTTATACAGCGTGTAGTTGGTCAGCCATTTCAAATTTGCGACGAGTCACTTGATGTGGATGGGCAATTGAGCCAGTGCGGTACAACCGCTAGCCTGGGGTCTTTAACGTGCACCGCGCAGTAGTGGTACACGACCGCACGCCGTTACGATGCTCATCCAGATCAAAACGGGCAGGGGTGGGGATTGAGCTCAGCATCCCTGGGTTCTGCAGCGCGAACTTTCGCTCCACGTGCTCCGAGCTGGTGTGCGCTAGCCCACTCGGCCACCGACCCCTTCGCGCCGTTTGTATGCGCTGCGCGTATGCGGAGGTTGTCCTTGAGGTAGTCCTTGAGGTCGTCAGAGAGATCGTTTCAGCTTCCGTCCGAGCGCAGCCAAAGCTAAGAGTGGCCGGAGCAAATCACACGTCGCCAATAGGTCGAGCGATCTCGCCAGCACTTTTGTATCAGTCCGCTGCGTCGCTGGTCGTCCGCGCCGCCCGCACTCACCGAGTATTTCGTCTGCTACAGGTTTAAAAAATGCCCTTTCACGTTCCGAAATTTAATCAGATGATGACAGTAAGTAGGCTGGCCGCTGGCGTCTGTGTCCGAGCTTTCCACCTGTTCGGCATTTCAGCATAGTTTTGAGATGTAAATACACATTGCAAGGTGTCCGATGACCCGGTTGTTGATGTTTCCTAATATTGTCTGGACATACTAGGGCTCGGGGCCCAGTCCTTTCCACCAGCTTCTCGGCGTTCAGTGGGATCGGCAGGTAAACGGGTGCCCTGATTTCGCCCTGTATCAATGAATTGAGGTGGCCCGGCGCTTTTCTTGTTTACAACGGATTCGCGGTACGACGCGGCCGGAGTCTCCTGCCGAATTTGAAACTAGACATTCATCACGACCTCTCGCGCCTGGCGGCCGAACGCGCCTTTGCGAAAGGATGTTTTGAAGCGACTCGGTGAGGAAAGCAGGGAAGCACATGATTCGGCCATTATGGAAACGAAATCGCACAGAAAAACCGAGCGCTGCCGCATCCGTGTTGCCTGCGGATGTACGTGTTTTCACCAAACCGCATGCATTTGCATATATCAATAAAAACATAAACTTTAGATATTTGATTCCTTTAGTTGCAAATCATTCTCAGCAGTACACATCTGGAATATTGTGCAATGTTTACGCACAAAACAGTTACTAAAAAAAAAAAAAAGCTTTTGCGGACTACTTTGTGATGCGTAGGAATGCTTTTCTCGAAGTTGCGAACTGTCTCTCAGCCTTTGGCTGCGCTCGGACGGAAGCTGAAACGAAGTATAGAGTTCGTCTTGACGTAATCCTCTAGGACGTCGTCCTCAACGTCGTCCTTGAGGTCGTCCTAGAGATCGTGCTTGACGTCGTCCTAGAAGTCGTTCTTAAGGTTCTTTGTTGAGATCACCTAGAAGTCGTTCTTGAGGTTGCCCATGAGGTAATCCTAGAAGTCGTTTTAGACGTCTTGACGTCATCCTCTATAACTTCGTCCTAGAGGTCGTCCTTGAGATCGCCCTAGAATTCATCCTAGAGGTCCTCCTAGGCGTCATTCTTGACTTCGTCCTAGCCGTCATTCTTAAAGAGGCACTCAAGTGGTTTTTGAAGAAGCTACTTTTTGGTGCGATGGCGTTAAGGAAGTGTCAGTGAATGAGTATCTTCAGTTTTAGAAGGCAGAAACGCCTATTAATCACGCAGGAATAAAATACGTGTGGACTCTTTTCTGTTCCTGCGCCGACCAATGAAATTATCGTATGTTTGAAAATTTTGGCGGCCTTTGCAAAGTTTTGCTAAAGAAACAATTTTCAGTTCATTTAGATATGTTGTGCATGATAATTTCACATAAAGTAAAATAGTTCTAGTTTAGAGTACGCGATACTGCAATTATCGCTTCACAAACAAGGGACTACGTTTTCTCCTTGCCTTCCTCCGCGGAGGGTGAATTTCCCGTTCCCTTGGGATGCGCGGAAGCGGGCGGAACTGCAAACATGGCGTCGGTGGTGATCGTCGACGTAGACGGCGTGGTGAAAGCTCATCGTTCCGCGTAAAAGCGCTATCCTTGACTGTGAATTTTCGTCGTGTGTCGCTATGATAACCCAGCACGTACTAGAAGGGAAGATCCACCTACTCGTGCGGCGATGTCGTGGCGGCACTCTCAAGACAGCAGAAATGCTCGTGCCGTCGTGTTTGTTTACTTCGACTGCAGTGGTGCTTTCTAAGCATTTGTGTCCTCGAACATCGCCCGGGTTTCTTATTTGGCGCATTTCATGCGTGTGCTCAAGTTCGAGGTATTACTGGCACGTACCGTATAACGGATGCGAATTTTCACGCATTTTCATCACCGGAAAAAAGTGATTAGTGTTAGCAATCCTGAACGCTCGCAACGTCTATTTGATCACGATATCATATTTCTACGCTGCTATATCGCTGTTTAGATTACATCTTCTTTTATAATCGTAGAAAAGGCGTATGGCGATATTTGTACTATTGGCAAAGTCGTGTATTAGAGTCATGATCGTCCAAAACGGCGTACTGCATCCTTTTGTTATTTTTTTTTCGTCCACTGTACCCTGAGCCTATCATGAAAAAAAAAATAAAGCTTTAGGCTATAGAAAACTGTCTGTCTATATTCTGTTACGGCATTGAGTGGCAGTGCGTCCCCTTTTTAGAGGCGCCGCTGAA